GTCCCCACGATCCCACCTTCCTCTTCCTGGGGACGGGCTCCCCGAAGACGAAGTGGGCGCCGTGGGGCGGGTCGGCGGGGGGCAGGCGGCCGGCGGCGGGGGGCAACGGWGGGGACGGCGTGGACGGGCTGGAGCGGTCGCTCGCCGCCTCCCAGCTCCACTCGCCGCTCGTGTTGCTGCTGCTGCTGCAGCTGGACGACATGGCGGGCGCCTCCGGCCAGGCCTCTGCAAGCAGCGGGTCAGCGCGGGTGCCGACGGCACCGGCACCGGCACCGGCTCCGCGGGGCCTTACCTGCGCCGGGGGCGCCGGGCAGGGGGCCCAGCACCAGCGGGCTGCTCGAGAGGCTGGTGAGCACCGCGGCTGCCATCACCTCGTCCAGGCCTGCCTGGTCGGGGAGCTTCCTGCGGGGACACGGGGACAGCGTGAGGGTGGCCCGCGCCAGCCGGGACGGCAGCAGCACCCGTTGGAGCCTGCGCCGGCTGGGACACGGCTGCTGTTTTGCAAGAGCCGGGCGGGAGGCTGGCCCGGCCCCAGGGACGTCCCCGTCGAGGGCCGCGGTTAAGGAAGCGCCGTGGCCGCTTCCCGCCGGGAGGCGAATCCCTCCTCAAGCGGCTGCCCACGTGCCAGACCGGGCAAGYGCGCTCGGGCAGCAGGTTTTTCCCTGGCAGCGCTCGGATCCCRCTGCCCCCGGCCCGGGAAGGGTTCCCGGCTGGCCCGTCCCGGCAGCGGCGCTTTGGGCAGCGCTGCCCGCGCCCGCCGGCTGCTTCATGGTCTCCGGAGATGCCCACTGGCCATTTACACCCACCCAGTGCCCTTGCACTAGGAAACGCTCCACGGGGTAAAGGAAACCCTCTGGTTTGGGATAAAACAGGCGGATTGGGTAGTTGCACCCACTGGGATGGCCGGGAGGGAGGTGGGAGCCGGTGGCAGCCCTGGGGCATCCACTGCTCCGGCCGCGCCGCTCGCTCACACCCGGAGAGCCCGGCGCTGCAGCCCGCTGCCCGAAGTCCTGCTCTCTCCCCACGGATGGCGAGGGGGAAACGCACTCGTGCGGCCGCGGGCGAGCAGCAGGACCCCGCAGCCGGGGACCTCGGGAGGTGCCGGGCGCGCGGCCGCCTCCGGACGGGGTTATTTTTATCACGGGGCTCCCGAGCTTGGAGCGCGGCGGGGCCGGRCGGCCCCCGCGGCTCGTGTTTCCCGGCGGGAGCAGCTGCCGCGGCGGGAGCACAGCCAGGAGCCGCCGGCACCGCGAGTCCCGGCCCTCCGGCATCCCGCGGCTGCCCTGGCCCTCCTGCATCCCATGGGATGCTTCGCCCGGGCCCTCCTACCTGTGCTGGGGCACGGGGATGTATGCGGAGCGCAGCGGCAGGCCCTGCCGTGCGCCGGCGTCCAGCGGCTGCGGCAGTTCCCGGTGCTCCGGCGGCTCCGGGCAGCGGAYGGGGCTCTGTGGGAAGAGGGAGCAGGTGCTCAGCGTGCGGTGCCCGCGGGCCGCGCGGTGCCCGAGGGCGCTTGCAAAGCCCCGGCCGGCGCCACCCGCGTCTGCTCCCCAGTGCTCAGCGCCCTCGGAGCATCCCGGGCAAGGCCAGGGCGGCATCGCGCTGGGAGCAAACAGGGATCGTGCGGTGCGGTGGTGGGATCTGGTGGGAACGTCCCTGGAGCTCTGCTGGGAGAGCCGCGCGGCACCACCCTGCAGAGCACCCAGGGGATCCTGGTGTCGGCGGATCCCCAGGGATCCTGCCAAGGATCCAATCCGACCCTTCGGAGCTCTGCGGAGCGGGCTCGGTGCCTTCCTGCTCCGTTAGCTGGACACACCAGCACCCACTGGATCGTCCTGCAGGCAGATCCCACATGCTCCCCTCGGGCTGGGCTGGGATCCAGCAGGGATCCACCAGGAGATCCGCGGAGCAGGGAGCACCCAAGGCAGCTGCTCCCTGGCCAAGCGGCAGCACCCAGCGGATCCCTCTCCAGGCAGATCCCGGGCAGAGCAGCCGGGGTGGGAGCAGGTAGGATCCCTGGGCAAAGCCAGGGGCAGACGTGGACGTTCCCTCGCCTGCAGGACAGGGGTTCCCTGGGCTGCCAGCCCTGACAGATCCCTCTGCAGGTAGATCCCAAGGACATCCGAGTTGGTCTGGGAGCAGCAAGGATTCCCGAAGCTCCACAGGGCAGAAAGCGGATGGAATTGCTCCGAGACAGCAGCACCCGCTCCCCCTGCGCCAGCTCTGCACRGATCCCCCTCCCACAGATCCCAAGCAGATCTCGAGGGCTGGGATCCTKCAGGGATCCCTTGCAGCTCTGCAGAGAGCTCCGAGACAGCCGTGCTCACTGCCTGGCTGTCAGCA